AAAGTTGGATGTGGTACTGGTTATATAAGATAAATTTAAGAAAAATGTATTAAAAGTCATAAAAATGCATACATGAGGTAGGTGACCATATGGTATGTAAATTATACAACAAAGCTGACAAAATAATTCAGAGTCCCCAAAAGCATTGGCTAAATGAGTTTCTTAATGACATGTTCTAAAATAAAACTAGAAAAGAATTAAATATGCATTTACTGATCATTTGAAATAAGTTGTAACACAACCTTAACCACTGGTACATTTTTAAAATTATCTCCTTCTTGCTATTGATATATTTTCTTACATAATTTGATTTATTACCTTAATATTTTGCTTAGGATACCTATAGCTTGGCCTATGAAATGGATGCATTTAAATAACTTGATTTTATTTCATGTCCTGGTACCCTTACATCAACATCAATATAATATCAGTTTCCCAAAGGAAATTTTAAAATATTCTTTGTGTTTTCTACTCTGTGTAGGTATGGGAAATGTAAATTTATTTTTCTTCCTTAAAAGTGTGGAGTATTCTGTAAGTCTGGACATGAAATTTTGATTCTGTGGTTTCGTCTCTTGCTTGGTTCTGTGGAATTTTCAAAATGTGATTCAACTTTCTGGGTTTATATAGGGTTTTCCTGTTTTATGTTGTGCTTGTGTTTTATAAATTTGATTTTCAAAATATGGTGGATTTTGATCTTTGCAGTCAAATTTTTACTTTTAAGAATTTCAAACTTTTCTCCTAGTATCTCTATAAAACAATGATTCTGTTAAAAAAAAAAGAGAAATAAGTTGTAATACTATAATTGTGGGGAAATTAGTTACATGAGGCAATTCAAAGATGGCACCCAAAGGAAGTAAGGTGGGTGGAATCCAAAGTTGTTTACCACTAAAACTAATTGGCAGCCGGTGACTCAGCTCAATAGGCTAATCCTCCTCCTTGCGGCGCCGGCACACTGGGTTCTAGTCCTGGTCGGGGAGCCAGATTCTATCCTGGTTTCCCCCCTTCCAGGCCAGCTCTCTGCTGTGGCCAGGGAGTGCAGTGAAGGATGGCCCAAGTGCTTGGGCCCTGCACCCCTTGGGAAACCAGGAGAAGCACCTGGCTCCTGCCATAGGATCAGCACGGTGCACCAGCCACAGCGCACCGGCCATGGTGGCCATTAGAGGGTGAACCAATGGCAAAGGAAGACCTTTCTCTCTGTCTCTCTCTCTCACTGTCCACTCTGCCTGTCAAAAAAAAAAAAAAAAAAAAAACTAATTGGCTACACAACATCAGGGGAAATGGCAACAACTGATAATGAGGGTATAGACATGGCTAGTCCTATAGAAATTGCCCCATAAAGTGATCTTTGATTGGTTGCTCCTTATGCCCTGCCCCAATGACTCTGCAGTTTTGTGCTTTAAAAGGCTTTGTTACATGTGAAATAAACCAGTTCTTGCTACACTTGGCTCCCTGCTGCGTCTGATTGTCTCTGGGATCTGGAGGCTGGGGAACAGGTGAGCAGAGCACTTACCTTTCCTCAGGCCCAGTCTATCCTGTATGGGTGGACTAAGACCCTGCAATAATCTATAGCAAAATTTTTTTTTGAGAGGCAGAGTGGACAGTGAGAGAGAGAGACAGAGAGAAAGGTCTTCCTTTGCCATTGGTTCACCCTCCAATGGCCACCACGGCCAGTGCGCTGTGGCTGGCGCACCATGCTGATCCTATGGCAGGAGCCAGGTGCTTCTCCTGGTCTCCCATGGGGTGCAGGGCCCAAGCACTTGGGCCATCCTCTACTGCACTCCTGAGCCAGAGCAGAGAGCTGGCCTGGAAGAGGGGCACCCAGGACAGAATCTGGTGCCCCGGCCGGGACTAGAACCTTGTGTGCCGGCACCGCAAGGTGGAGGATTAGCCTAGTGAGCCATGGCGCCAGCTCAGCAAAATATTTTTGTAAGTAACTACATTTTCTAAAATCACAAATATAAAAAATTAGGACAGTGGCATTGTTTTCTATTTTTGAAAATCTCTTTAATGTCTTGCTTAATAAAAAAAAATTATCTGGACTCTCATAACTGCTTGTCCTTCAATCTTGGGTAATACTGCAAGTCACACTACCCCCTGGAAAAATATCCTGTAAACTCATAAAAGGACAAGAGGGCAGGGAGCAATTAATGACAAGGTTGACAGAACTATACTTTGAGAATCCTTATAGTGAGGGACTGTTTCCCACTCATTTGTTGGTTGAAGGTTTAGGTGGGAAAATGGATGTTTTAAAGGGGCAGACTTTCTGGGCTCCTGAACAACAGAGCTGCATCTTGTGTCTTGTTTGAGGGGCAGAGCTGATTCAGCCCCTGCACCACACAAAAGACCCATGAAATCATTTGGCCTGGCCTTAAGGCAGCCACAGGCAGGACTGGAAATTCAACAGACTAATTTTTAAGCTGATAATTTTCTATGGCCTGTGAATGATGTTTTAAATATCCAAATGGCCTCAGGCAGAAACAATTTCCCCACCCCTCTTAGACCCTGGAAACCAAGTGTGCTGCACACTAGCCATCTCATTGCCCTCCACAGGTGCTGTAGCTGTAGGACCTTAAGGGACTGCATGTCCCACCATTCCCTTCTCCTCACCACAACCACAAGCTACAGTGTAAAATTCTCATCCTGGAATTATGTTGTGTTATCCAGGAAGATTCTATTGTAATTGCTTATCTTTGTGCAACCTAGAAGTATCATCTTTAATGAACATTAAGCTAAATCAGAGGTTCTCAAAATACAGTCTAGGGACCAGCACCAGAAGCAGCATCTTATAACTGATTTGAAATTCAAGCTCTCTGGCCCCACCCTCCTGAACAAAGCCTCTGCAGTTGAGGCTCAGCAATCTGTAGTCTAACAAGCCTTTCAGGTGATTCCAATGCACCAAATAGTTTAAGGCATTAGCCTTGAAGTTAAACTGAGCTGGATCTTTCCTTGGAAAGGAAACCCAGCACAGGTGATAAGGAAAACATTTCATTCCCTTCCTATCTCCTCCCCTTCCTGTGTGAGTGGTTCTGGAGAGACAGTGGCAGTACAAGCTTTGAATCAGAAACACAAGTTTTTGTTATTCTGTTTCTCTGGAGATTCCTTATTAATCCATGGTGAATTAATTGCACTGATATATAAGAAAAGATATTTGATAAAATTCCTAAATATTATGGATTAAAACCAATTAATACTGGGACCAACGTTGCGGTACAGCTGGTTGAGGTACTACTTGTGACACTGGCAACCTAAATCAACTGTGGTTGAGTCCAAACTGCTCTATTTCTGATCCAATTCACTGCTAATATGCCTGGGAAGGAAACAGAAGATGGCTCAAGTACTTGGACACCCCCCAACCCAGGTGGTAGACCAGGTTAGAGTTCCAAGCTCCTGGCTGTGGCCAGGAACAGTCTCAGCCATTATAGCCATTTAGATACTGAACCAGTGGATGGAGGATCTACCTTTCTCTGTCATTTTGCCTGTAAAATGAATACTTTAAAAAGATAAAATTAATACATATAAACCCAACATTTACTTAATATTTAATTTATTTCAAATAATTTGCTAAAATAATGTTTATGGTTGCAGCCATTAGCATCAAAGTCAGAAGATGAGATCAAATCATTACTATTATTTACCATTGTTTCTGATACTCACAATGAACATATTTAGAAAAGGAAACTTGTGGTATAAAATTATAAATGTTTCAAAACCGATTTTTGATCTAGAAAAACACTTTAAATCATACTTTGTTAAGATTTCTAGGAACAAAATAAGCAGTCAAAAATGGTCATCATACATAAAGGGTAGAAATACTAATTAGATATAAATATTTTTAGCACACAATGTAGAATTTGGGGAGTGAACTGGCAGATGGAAGATTATCTCTCTCTCTCTCTCTCTCTCTGCCAGTCCTTCTCTCTGTGTGTAACTCTTCCAAATAAAGGAATAAATATTTATATAAAAACTACAACAGAGGAGGGGCTGGCATTGTGGCATAGCTGATTAAGTTGCCACCTACAACTCTGGCATTCGAAGAGGGATGGTTTGATTCCTAGGTGCTCCAGTTCTGATCCAGCTGTTAATATACCTTGGAAATCCACAAAAGATGACCCAAATACTTGGGTCCCTGAATGCATGTGGGAGACCTGGATGGAGTTTCAAGTACCTTTTTTTGGCCTGGTCCAACCCTAACTAGTATGGCCATTTGAGAAAGGAATCAGTAGATGGCATAACTCTCTCTCTGCCTCTCCAACTCCATCCCCTTCCTTCTCCCTCTCCCTGTAACTCCTTACCAAAAGTACTGTGAGATTAACTACAAAACTTGTTCTCAAACAGGACTTTGGATGTTTTGTGTGTGTGTGTGTGTGCTGTGAGTGTGGGGACAAACTGTTGAGGAATGAATCAGTAGATTGAACATATCTCTTTCTGTCTCTCCATTCCTCCCAATTTTTGTATTTCTGCCTTTCAAACAAAAAATAAATCTTAAAAAATAAAATAACCTGCACTAGATTCTTTTTCTCATATTCCTGACCTCATCCCTGAATCAAGCTCAGCTCCTCAAAACTATTAGACTGTCTTACTCTAACAAATCAAAAACAAACTTAACTGATTGTGTTTTAGTACTAGGTAACTCTTACCCTTGCAGAATGCTAAATATTTATTTCCAGGATTGCATTAAAACACTCCTCACTACATCATTTATGTGACAATAAAGATTGTTTCAGACACCATGACCCCCATTTAGCATAGTGTACTCTAAGTTACCACTCAAATCATGTAACATATGTTTTTCTATGGCAAGAGAAAGACCAAAGACCAAATTGTCTTATCTTAGATGACTACAATGTTTCATTACCATGCCAGATTCATCATTCATCTTGTTTGTGTATATTCCCTGAGAATAAATTTTATGTGTATTTTTCATTTTAATTAATAAATTCTTATAAATTTCCTGAAATGAAAACATAACAAGCAAAGGAATATTTTAGAAAACCACTTACAGGTGAAGTACTAATTTTCTTTGCTCTTAGAAATGTGTGCAGGTGCCAGAACCATACCTGGAAGAGAAAGTGAATGGAAGGAGTTAAAAGAAGTCTTTATCTGGTTTCCTTCTACATTGATCTATGAAAAAAAAGGATATAATAGAGTAAATAAAGAATAATTAAGACATTACCTGAGAAAACATCAACTTCACAGTGAAGGAATAAAACTTTAAACACAGAAATGCATAATAATATGCACCCACTTCTATTAAGTGGCAGAGATTAAACTGAAGTTATCATTGGTTCAATGAAAGCATTGTCTAATTTTTAAAATAATAATAGTAAAAAATAAAATATTAAGGGTTATTGTTAAATAAATGAAGTTATCAAAGAGATAAGCAGACCGGCACAGCAGCTCACTAGGCTAATCCTCCACCTTGCGGTGCTGGCACACGGGTTCTAGTCCAGTCGGGGTGCCGGATTCTGTCCCAGTTGCCCCTCTTCCAGGCCAGCTCTCTGCTGTGGCCAGGGAGTGCAGTGGAGGATGGCCCAAGTGCTTGGGCCCTGCACCTGCATGGGAGACCAGGAGAAGCATCTGGCTCCTGATTTTGGATCAGCACGGTGTGCCAGCAGCAGCGCCATGGCCACGGCAGCCATTGGAGGGTGAACCAACGGCAAAGGAAGACCTTTCTCTGTCTCTCTCACTGTCCACTCTGCCTGTCAAAAAAAAAAAAAGAGATAAGCATTATGTTGTAACTAAAATGTATATTTACTGTAGTACACTTTTCCAGTAATGATTCCAAATAACAACATTCCCTGTATTCATCCCTTCACAAGACCTTGTATTTCACTATTTCACTTGCTTTACCCATGAGATATTAATAAATGTGACAGAAACAGATAGTTTGTAAAAATATTTGCCTTCTCAGATTTTCCTTACTTGACACAATTATCTTCTGCAAAACCCTGGGTCCTGCCTGTAGAAGAGGTAGAATCTAGCCAAGATTCACCAAAATCACCATTTGAGTGACTGCTCCTATCTTGATTCAATTCCAGTTTTCTGCAAAAGCACACCCTGAAGAAAATCACCTGAAAAGCAATGTCGCAAATAGGTGTTAGCCTTTGAGCTGTGTTGGAGACTTGAATTGAGTTATTTTTTTAAGTAAAATTACTTATTCAAAAAACAGATAAATCTTCTCTAAACCCAGATCTTCCAGTTTAAAGTCACCACAAATGTGTTGTGTCTATAGATATGCTTACTGTGAACATGACATGTAATGGAAGGTGGGATCCATATGTTCTCTTGCCAAATAGAGTCTCCATGATTCAGACAGGACAGGGCACAACCTCTCAGCCACACACACACAGAGAACATATTCCTGGCAACAAGGTATCTAGAGAAAACACAAAAGAGGATGCCTTGCCTCCAAATTGGCTGTTTCACAACATTTCACTGTGTCATGACAGGGGAGAAGAAAATAGACTTGGATTCAAATAGCACCAAATCTCTTTGCTCTTACTGAATCTTAAACTTTCTGTCATATTTCTTCATTTCCTGTATGTCTTTTGAATTTACTATAACAGCTTCTTGTTTAGATTTTAAGTAATTTTTATAAATTTTACTAAAAAAAAGTGTCCCTACTGCTACTCACTGTCATGCTTAAATTCTATATATCACTCAATTTTAATGCTTATGAGCTTAGTTAATTAATGATTATATTTGTAATTGCCACATATGATAAATTTAGTTAATTTACTTATTTTTAGTTAAAAGAATTAAACTCAAATATTAGTCTCAGAACTGATTCATGGTATAAATTATGTGTTCTGGAGGTTTTTCAGATGTTGATTATATTTGCCATTAAAATACAATTTTTAAAAATCCTGTGAAAGATAACTCCATGTGCACTAAACTGGTAAAATCCAGGGCATGTGTTGAAAAATACACATAATGGTAAATTTGGAAAAGCTGGTAAGTATTATAAATGGTTGGCAAGAGCTTAAAAACCCAAAATGACTCACTATGTCACTATTTTATTATATATAAATACTGAGAAAATCAGAAGTATTTGTTAAAATTTCTACTATGATGCACTAGATTTATGATTTTCAGAATGTACTTCCCTATATATAATGTAGTTCTGTGCTAGCTTTGAGTAGCAGAAAGGCTGCTTTTGTTGTTTTTTAAAGATTTATTTTTTATTTGAGAGGTCAAGTTACAGACATAGAGAAGAAGAGATAGAAAGAGAGGTCTTTTAGCCACTGGTTCACCCCCAAAATGGCTACAACAGCTGGAGCTAAACAAATACAAAGCCAGGAGCTAGAAGCTTCCTCTGGGTCTCCCATATGGGTGCAGGGTCCCAAGCACTTTGGTCATCTTCCACTGCTTTCCCAGACAAATAGCAAAGAGCTGTATTGGAAGTGCAGCAACAATGACTGGAATCAGCACTCATATGGGATGATGGTGCTGCAGGTGAAGGTTTAACCTACTATGCCACAGCGTTGGCCCAGTGATAAATTTTAGGAAGACATCCTGCATGTAGATTAGTCTATAATATTATAAGGTAAGGTTTAGGTTTTATTTCCCACACATTAGTATTTATCTTTTGGCAACTATAAATATTGAATATCATGTATATGTATATATATGTAAATGTTTTGTAGCTGCAGATTTTGTCATTCTTTCTAATTCTCTTTTTAATGACTGCTATTATGCCATTTTATGGAAATTGTATTGATATTACCTGTACACAATGATCAGGCATTTCCATTGTAATATGTGTTTATGTGTGCAAGTTTGTGTCTGTGTGTATATGAGTGCACAATTTTTGATAGATAGTTTCAAAAGTAATACTGTGAGAAATATTAACACTCATTTCAAAATCTGTCCTCCCCAGAGATGGGTGTCTATGAGTCAGACCACAAGACCCCTCTAAGTGTTATGGACTGAAATGTGCTTTCCTAAAACTCACACATTAAAGTGCTAACCACCAACATGACTCTACCTGGAGAAAGTGCTTTTTAGCAGGTCAAATAATATCTTATGTGTGATGACCATCAGGAGAAAGATTTCTGGAAAAATCAAGCCAGTATGACCTTGATCTTGTATTTTCAAACTTCACTTCACAACTCTAAGAAGTAAATTTCCATGATATAAAACATATTATCTATGGACCTTTGTTAGCAAATTAATACAGCCTTATTTCTGCCAGCATTTCCTGCAGCCACCTAGAAGGTCCACACCATTATCAGGGAAACATAGAAGCTAAAACTATGACTTCAGATGGACAAACCTCTAGAAACACAAGAAAGATACCCTTCTCAATGACCCAGAAAAAATAAAAAATGTATCAAAGCCAAGGACAGTAGAAAAAAGTGAATAATAAAGATCACAGCAGAAATAAATAAGGAAGAAACTTGAGAAATTAAAATTAATAAAATTAAGAGCTAGTTCATTGAAAAGAAAAAAACAATTCTCAAGCTATAGTATAGTAAGAGAAACAGGAAATGATCCAAATGGATGAGATCAAAGAGAGGAAATAATATCTATTCAAACAGGAAAATAAGAATTCGCATTCATATTTCTGTTTGCAGATAGCATGATTTTATATGGAGAGAAACCTAAGAACATCATCAAGAAAATTCTGAAAATGATAAATGAACTTAGCAAAATTGATAATACAAAATAAAATCAGTTGCACTTTTGTACATAATAGTCAACTCAGTTGGGAAAAAAATTATAAGAACAAACATATTTACAATTGTCACAAGAAAATAAAATACCTCACAATAAATTTAATCCAGGATTTGAAAGCCCTCTACAATAAAAGTCACAAAACAATGATGAAAGAAAATAAATATATAAACATTGGAAAGATGTCTAATGAACCTTGATTGAAACAATTTGTATGATTGAGCTTTTATACTAACCAAAGTAATGTGCACCTTTGATACAATTTGCCTTGAAACACCAATTAAATTATTCACAGAGGGAATAGCACTGGGGCACAATGGATTACATTTCCACCTGCAATGCAAGGATCCCATAGCAGAATAATTGTTTAAGTACTGTCAGCTCTAGTTTTGATCCAGCTCTCTGTTAATGTGATTGAGAAAGTGGGACAAGATGACCCAAGTACCTGAGTCTTTGCCACCAATGTGGGAGATGGAGATGGAGTTCCAGACTCTAGATTTGTCCTAGCTCAGCACCAGCCATTGTTTCCTTTAGGGAAGTGAACCAATAGATGAAAGATCTCTTTCACTCTCTGATTCTCTTTGTCACTCTGTCTTTCAAATAAATAAATCTTTTCAAAAAGAAAACCAATTCTTCACAGAACTAGAAAATAAAAAACTAAACTTCATTTGAAATCAGAAAGCCCCAAATTTCAAAGCCATCTTGAACAACATAATAAATCTGAAGGCACCACAATATCTAATTTCAAGACATTATAAAAGTAGTGTAAGCATTGGCATAATATCAGACACATAGTTCAATGGAACAGAACAGACATCTCAGAAATAAACCCACACTTCCACAAGCAACTTATCTTTAACAAAGGAATAAAAATACCCTGAAAAAAGAAGAATCTTTTTAAAAATCATCCAGAGAAAACTGATTATCCATATGTAGAAGACTAAAAATAAAACCTAACACATCTTACACTATGTAAAAGTGAACTCACAGTAATTAAATACCTAAATAGAAGACCAAAAACTAAGTAAACATAGAGAAAGTGTAGAACATTGGCATAGAAACAGCTATTGTATAAGAATCCAAAAGCACAAGCAATAAAAATAAAAATAAATTTGATAATATCAAATAAGATGCTTCATACAAAAAAGTAATCATCAGAGCCAAGATACAACAAGCACAGTGGCAGAAAACACTTGAAAAATCTGAATATGACAAAGGATTTATATCCAGAATATATAGAGAATTGGAAAAACTCTAAACAAAAAAAAATAGCACAGTTAAGAAATGGGCAAGGATCATAATAGACATTCTATCAGAAAAAAAATATAAATGGTCAAAACATGTGAATGTGCTCAATGTCACTAACCATCAGGGAAATGTAAATCAAAACACAATATGAGGATCCAAAACCTATAAGAGAATGCGATGCTCAGGTTTTTGTCTGTGCATTGAGTGGGTTTAGAAGATCCTGTTCACCAGCAGAGAGAAGAATCTACATGTAGGCAAAGAAAATCTTACTCTTTTTCTAACAGGCTTATTTGAATCTTGACCAGTTCCTGTTAGCCTTGCCACAAACTTTCCAGTTTCACTAATTTCCATCTGCTAAACTCTAATTTAATCTCCTCTCTGTATAGTAGTCCTTCTATCTATTGAGGATACATTTTGTCTTGTTTTGTTTTATTCCTTCTGTTTCTTATTAAGTTCTTGCAAGGAATTGTGACCCTCAAAAGATCCATTCATTTATGCAGTCTTCAGTTTTCATTAGTGACTACATGCCAAGTAGTATGTTAAAGGCAAGGCATAGATCAGAGTTTGTGAAATCAAGAGGCTGCCATAGCCTTGGCAACTCATGACAAGAGCCTTGGGTGATTGCTGACATCATAAATAAGAGTGTCAATTGTTAAATCAACAATGGGAGTCACTGCACACCTACTCCCCATGTAGGATCTCTGTCCTTAATGTGATGTACTATGCAAATTAATGGTGAAACTACTACTCAAACAGTACTTTTTAAACTTTCATTTAATAAATATAAATTTTCAAAGTACAACTTTTGGATTATAGTGGTTTTTTCCTTCCCCATAACTTCCCTCCCACCCACAACCCTCCCATCTCCGGCTCCCTCTCCCATTCCATTCACATCAAGATTCATTTTCAATTATCTTTATATACAGAAGATCAATTTAGTATATGTTAAGTAAAGAGTTCATCAGTTTGCACCCACACAGAAATACAAAGTGTAATGTACTGTTTGAGTACTAGTTATAGCATTAATTTACATGTACAACACATTAAGTTTGGAGATCCTACATGAGGAGTAAGTGCACAGTGACTCCTGTTGTTGACTTAACAATTGACACTCTTGTTTATGGCATCAGTAATCAACCTAGGCTCTTGTCATTAGTTGCCAAGGCTATGGAAGCCTTTTGAGTTCACTGACTCTGATCATATTTAGACAAGGTCATAGTCAAAGTGGAAGTTCTCTCCTCCCTTCAGAGAAAGGTACCTCCTTCTTTGATGGCCCCATT